ATGTTTATGAAATGGAGGATCCCAGCAGTGTGTGCCCAAATTGATACGACGAACAGTTAAAAGTATTGTATTTTCATTAACAAAATACCAGGGTTCCCATGTTAGCTTAGTGTGTCTAGCCTTAAGAAAAATGGAGCTTGAAGCTAGTACTTTCACTGTTTCACCCGGTGTATTTTGCGCATTAATGTTAGTCCCTGAATGAATAAATGCATGTTGTTAGTCATTTACTGTTCCTTCGAGTAATGAACTGCCTTTCATCCATTCCCTTACCAGTCCACACCGGAAATTGATAACACTGCCGAACATTGTGCTAACTAACGTTTTGGTAACTCTCAAAAATTGGAATTCCTTGATGACTAGATTGACAAATCAAAGCTTGAAGTCCATCAATTACTGTAGCATTTTGACGAATCGCAGAAGAAAGTTGACCTCTGTGCAAAGGGTTCTCCTTTTCTGAGAATCGGTTCCGGCATTAATTGAGTTGTATTTGGCAAATATTTCAGATTACGACTCTGGAATTTTTCTGGTCTCACACGCGGATAAATATTCATACAGCAAAGCCACTAGTCTCTACTCTTCCTCCATCTTTTAGGTTATTTAAAGACTCTGGAAATGTGTCTTGACCGGACTTTAGAATCTTGGTGCTTACTTCGTTCGTTGTCGATTGTCTGGATTACATGAATGGGGCTTGAAAATTAACGCAATTTTTTTTTACTTGGAACAGTTATTTGTAAATACTGTGTGTGGATGAAATATCATTATTGTTTAATTTGTGTAACCTGTTATGTGTTCAGGAACTTGGAGGGTTTGTGCAAGATAGGTGAACTTTTGCTGTGACTTTTTGGGCGTCCCAGTGGTCCGTCTTATAAATGAAGCATTGGTATCCTTCCCAGCAAATCAAGTAAACAACTGGTTTTATCTTGTGTCTGTCCATCTGACTGTTGAGTAGGCTATGATATAGTGGTCATTTCCGATCATGAATGTCCTCGTATATTTGTTCATTCTGCTAGATCGTCATTACTCAAGTTCTCAACAAACCTCCTTCGACACTTGATTTCGTCAATATTATTTGTCAGCTTCTATGACCAAGCGAAACCGTACTGAAAGCTAATATAGGTGTAGAACTTTGGCACTGTGGTAGAATTTAATTCCATATTGGATTTGTTCATTTTTTTATAGCACATAGTGATATAGTATTATTTACTTGATGACGTTTCGAGCATAAATTATTGCTCATAATCATATCGATGTAATCACACTACTTCCGATGTTTGATTTTTATAGTTATGTCACCTCATATGAGTTATTTTTATTGGTGGTAAAATTTTCCACATCTCTGGTGTAGGTATTGGGTCATTTCTGTTACATGTGTTGCGTGTTGATTCGATGAACACAGATTCAGTAATCAATCTCTCTCCACCTAATTATATTGGACTTAAGTACAGTGGCTTTATCCCCACCCTTTTGTGTGGCTGTGTGTTAATGTGTGCATTGCGATAGCCGAGGTTTCTTCTAGATTATTGATCTTATTCAGGTCTGTTATTCTACGTATAGCTAAATTCCTATGTTCGGCTATTCTAACTGACCCGGACCGGCTAGTTTGACCTATGTACTTGACCTCGCGGACATTACATGGAATTTGATAGATTATATTATTTTGCTGAATTGATTCTATCGGATCCTTAAACCGACAAAGCTTATCTCTGAGTGAGTTTGTAGGTTTAAATGCCACTTTAATCCAGCTTTACTGAGGATCCTACGTACCTAACTTATAGGGTAACATAATGGAGGTTGTGAACTCCTTTCTACTTGTGTTGTCGTTATTATTCATACTCGTGTAACTGTTATTTTCTCGTTTCTTATGTGTCCGTACGAATTTCTTAATAAACTGTGTGGGATAATTACTAACTATTAGCGCTTCTTTTACGTGTTTCAATTCCTTATTTAGGTCCTTTCACTGATTATTCAGTTTTCTAGCTCTATCACTTAGACATTTGACTAAACTGCCTTAACTGATATTGGATGAGATCACTTGAAGTCTAGATACCTGTTGGAATGTGTTGCTTTTCTGTAGACAGTAGTATCCAAACCACCGCCTGTGTTTCGTTTTATCTTGCAACCCAACATAGGTAATTCTCCTTGTTCATTTTCTACTTCGTAAGTGGATTGGATTGCACCTACTACTGAGTTTATATGTTCGAGGAAATTGTCGATATATTCCGATTTCAACACAGTAAATGTGTCAGCCACATATCGCCACCATATTTTGGTGCAGGACTGAACGTTTGTAAAGCCATGTTTTCCCAACTATCCATAAAAATATCTGCTATGATCGAGGATATTGGCGATCCCATTGCTACTCCTTCTGTTTGTCTGTATATGTTGTCCTGAAACTTAAAGACTGTGGAGGTCAGGCTTAACTGTACGCTTAATATGATCTCATCAACCGATATCTTAGTTCTGTGAGTAAGTTCTGAGTCAATATTTATTTGACTTCTGACTGTATCCAGTATCATACTGATTGGTATTTTAGTATACAGACTTGTTACATCGAAGCTTACCATTTTTTCATCCTCTTCTATGTGTAATTCATTAAGCCTAAGTTTTAACTCGTAAGAGTTTACTAGTCTGAAATTTGAACGGTTCCTAATAGGACATAATATCGATGCTAAGAACTTAGCTAGTTTTTTTGTTGGAGTATTTCTGAAGTTAACTATGGGCCTAATGGCATAACCTGGTTTATGAACCTTAATAGTGTGCCATAAATTCTGCTGGGATTATTAGTTTTAGGCATTAAATTAAGCCATTTAGACTCACTTAGAGATAGCTTTAGTCGGCGTATCAGATCGACTGTAGATTTCTTAATTTTATTCATGACCGCATCTAAAGGCTTCTTGATTTCTTCATATGGCCCTGTTGGGATATGTTCGTCAATTTTGTTGAAGTAATCCAGTTTATCCATAACTACCGTTGAATTGCTTTTACCAGGCTTAATAATTACTATATGGTTGTCATTCCGTAGACTATTCAGAGTTAAAAGCTGAAAACTAATGTGACATTTGTGCTATGAGCAATGTGTGTTAGTGGATGAAATCTTCTGTAAAGTAGCTAGTGGAAAATCTAACTGCATACAATGGTGATTTATTCTCTAACTGAGTGTTGTTTTGTGCTTTATTTGCCCATTAGTGTGTTACATTTCCCTCGTAATGCAGTTCAGAAACAATACCCAACAACTACTTTACACTACTAGTACCACATTGTGTGAGGGTTGCGGTTTTATCTGGCTACCCTGACCTCTGCGAGTAGGGTGGAGCTTGAGATGAACCTAGTGGATTGAGACTTCAGTGCTCGGTCTAGTGGGCCATAGGTCCACAGTATGGCTAGAAAATGTCTTTCTTACTTTCACTTTTCAGCCTCATTTATATAAAGTTATTGTTTTTCCTGACTTGCGGGTTTGCTCTTCCGACTGTTTTAGTGTCCAGCGTTTCAAGCTGCATTTAACACTACAATTACAACACTGGTAGCTTAGAGGAGTTTTGTGTTGAAATTCGGTCATCAATAGGCGCTATGCATTCCGAAGTTCCGTCGTATTCTCGGCCCATCTGCATTCTGATATTTGTATTTGCAGTCTAAAAAGACACCACAAGGTTGTTTTCACTGATTTTCCTGTCCTTAACGCTATTACCAGTTATAAACCAGAATTTACAATAATGAAGCCTGTGTACGTTAATCCGAGTCAGTTTCTTTTGCATAGATATTCCTTCATTGCGAAGTGATTGAAAAAGATGGTAAACTTGTGTGGTGTAATTGATGTGATAAGAGTACGAATTAGCAATATAAGTTTGTATGTGTACATTTGGTTATGATTCTTATCGCGCATTCGTTGACCATGTCAATCTGTGATGTTGGTTCTCAACTATGTCAAACCTTGTCTAAACTCATCCTCATTGCAACAACTTTGGTCCCACTTTATGCAAAAATACCTCCGTGAAAGAATTTCCGCGTAAAATTTAAGTCTTGTCATTGATTTGAATGCAAACAAGATCAACCATGTAATCTGATGACATGGTGTTTAAAGCTATTGTCGAAAATTTTTCTGTTGTCTTTTAGCTCTACTGGGTTTCTCAGGGCTCAGCAGAGGTTCTATGGCAACCATTCTTCTAATATTCATTTTATATGTTAATCTTACCTGCCAGTGGGTCATCGCCCTTGAAACACCAAGTCTGAGTTCCGTTTCCAGTTTATGCTCTGGTTATGATAGTAATCCCATGAAAGGGAGTTATATTCACTCTCCCATTAGGTTTTGTTTACTTTAAAGTCTTTTTGAATTCCGTTCTTTGACTGATTTAGTTTTCGACAGACATTTATTCTTCGTTTTTTTGTTTCTTTCTAGCCTATCTATAGAAGTTCGAAAAAGTCAATAGCATTCATTTCGCTTGGGACAAGCTTTTCCCCGATATTTTGTTGGGTATTATATATCGGTGCTTGCTATTCCCATGCTAGCAGTATGTGATACGGACCACTCAAGAAGACTAAGTCAGTTAGTGGTTACAGGTTAGTCGGTTAATACTAGCGTTTTATTTGTTTCAGTCAAGTGTGCTACATTTCTTCGTCGTGTAAAAGTCTATTCAGCAAAAGTGGTGATTTGTTTGCTATCTTGATTGTTGACAATGCACCTGTCTACAAGACCAAAATTTGTCCTAAAACATGGAGTCCTACATGGAATGAGTCCATCTCAGTTATTGCATCCTCAAAGAGCACCATCCAAATAAAAGTATTTAATCATTTTAAATTAGGACCCGATGTGCTGATTGCGGTTGCTGCTATAAATCTTTTTTCACTTCTTGTTGAACATCATGGTATTTGTAAGTCTAGTTTTATTCTTTACGCTGTAGTATCTAAATGTGAGCTGAGACTGTCATTGTTCCAAGGATGTGATTACAAAGGATCAGTATTTGTAATGCTGGATAAGCTTGAAATATGTATGCAAGATTTGCAGAATGAAATTAATGTAGGTTATCTTACAATCACTTTTTACATGTCAATCTTCGTTATATTTATTGGCTTTTCCTGCTCATTAAATGCTGAATAATTTTGTTTACGTTTCTTAACATATACTGATGAATTTCCAGTTGTAAGCGCTGAATACCATGGTAGATAGTAGTATGCAGTAAAATAAATGTCGTTCAACTCAGCAACCACTTATGGGCTTGCCCGCATGTCTGTGAGCCACACTTGTTGTGTTGGTGATTACTAGTTTTCCCTAAGCTTTATTGGGCAAGCGAAGTTACATCACGTCACCCATTGTTCAAATATCGGCATTCAACTTTATACCCAGTTCCTTAGACTAACGAAATCAAGAATATGTCTCAAAAGTGATGTTGAATTTAACACTGTGAGTTGTGATTCTGTTCTTACGTTTTAAAACCAACTAGATCTATTGATTTATATCATAACCCTGTGGTTACGTTAACCACCTGATAATTACCTCAGAAGTACTGCGTCATTCATTAGGGAGTTTTCTTTCAACCAGTGGGTCGCAGGTTTGGACACCGCTCCACCTGCCAAGGTTTGAGCAACCAGGTAGTATCATTAGCCCTCACACAATAGATTTGCCTCACTGCCTATTGCACGAGTATGCACAAGGTTCCTGAGTGGACTTTTTTTCAAGACCGACACTAAATATCCCAGTTAGTTCATTTAGAAGTATGTATTAGATCAACTAGATGTGATTATCTACTGAAATCTTCAACACGTATCTGGAAAAACTGACGGTAAAAAGGAATTGTTCTGTCAAGCAGACTATTACCTTGAAGTGTGTGGTTATTAATTAACATGGTAGAGGTTAATTACTTTAAGTGTTTATTCATACTTTTAATTCATGAGCTTGGATATGGAGAGTTAACACATTTTCACTCGCCTAAAATTGTTTGATCAGTGGAATAACAGCATCAATGTCAGTAGTTATGTCAGTTTGTGGTATCATATTTGTTTTTGTCGGTTATAATGAATTCTGGTCATGGGATAATTCAATTGAGAGTTCGTTGGGGATATATCTTATTGACCCTAAGTTAGCATTCATCCCTGGCGGGGTCATAGGTGTGCACTACCGGGGAGTCCCACACTAGGACGAAACAGCTGCTCAGTGCTTCCAAGTTTTCAATGGTTCTCCAACCAATGACATTTTGTGATGAATACTAACTTGAGATCATAGAATAACTTGATGCTAGTTATTCGAAATATCTCCAGCATTCTGATCCCTTCACGTGGGCTTTCAAAAGTTTCTTTACCACCTAAACTACTAACGACAAGATTCTCACCTTTAGATAGTGATACATGCTTTACAACTGTGTATCGTAGAATATTATAGTGGATGACTTGATTTCCGTATATTTCCTGCAAAAAATGTAGACCAACGGTCTCCATAAATACGAACATAAAGGGAAACCTAGGAAAATTGAATAAATCATGGTTTTTACATTTCACAACAGTACAGAAAGAGATCAAGATATATATCAAAATACAAACAAGAAGGATTCCCAACACTTCAAATGTCTCAGGAATCTAGTCTCCAGTCTTCTTATGTGATCCAGACTGACAGTCAGTAAATTAATTGATTAAAGTCATCTTGATTTTCTTGGGACATGATGGGGAAATTCAGCTGTTGAAATGCGTCATAAGTTGAGACTTGAGTGGTGATTTCAAGCTGTGGTTCACGAAACCAATAAGTTTATGGAGGAGTTCGTATCTATCTCAGCTTGCCAAGAAAACACTCGTGATTTCATGGTCAATAAAATGTATAGAGAGCAGTCACGCAAAACCTCAATATAGATGTTTGGTCCCGTAGGGGAATAATTCGTTTTGAGGTCTGTGTACAAACTACTAGTATTTACCCATTATCTCCAATCTGTCAATGTTATTAAGATGATTCACTGAGTGTTATCTACACATTAATCGTAAGTCAACAAATACAAACCTACTACAACTATCTTTCATACTACATTACCGCCGTATAAACTATTTCCCTGCTTTTTTAACTAGTACGAGCACGCGTAGCGCGTGCTTACGCCGCTGGTCAAATAAATATTCCTGATTATTAATAGTTTATTCACTGCAAATATCAGTTTTCCGTTTTCTGATTGCTTCTTCAAAAGTTCTGCTGATCTCATTAACGAATTTGATAATTCTACTCACAGCTTAGTTTTTATGCAAAATAAATTTTTGTTAAATCACTGTCTCTTGGTATTTAGAAAAGCGGAAGCTCCCTTGTCAGCGGCCCAATTTCTTTGGCGTCTTCACTTCACCATGTTTTTTTTCCCGAAGGTTAAACATGTGTAGGCGCTTAAGTGAAATCTAGAAGGGGGAACATTTTACCTGGTTCCATTAGGTTGAAAAGTTTGCGTAGCGAGTTTTATCTATGAACATGTGCTGTATGTAGTGTGAAACCTACATGATTTATTGGTAAAATAGATTTGTGCTTTTAAAAATGTTGTTTTGGCATCATTCTCCTCATATCACGCTACACAATTATAATAAAAGTATACAATCTCTATGTTTCTTCTCGTAGATACTCGGTAATTCATCTCAAGTTCCTTCTGACACAAATGCTCTTGAACCTGTATTTTCTCAACGGCAAAGGTAAAAATTCCAAGTTTATTTTCTGTTTATTTAAGCACTGACTTTCTGGATATCAGTAGTGTATGTTTTACTGCCCTGAATATGATGCTCTTTAGGTGAAATATATACTCATCAAAACTGTCTTCTCTTTGGTCACACCTCACATATGCTCACCACCAGTTTGTAATTGAATGTTATCAATATAGTGATATGAAGAAACCAGATGAATTTCCATTGAATTATCAGTGTGCTTCCAGATAAGAATCGTTTCTTGACAGCTGGTTTGGTTGTTAAGAAAATTAAACATTTGTTTGTAGGATACATGAATGCAAACGAATGATCAGTGAATGATAGAACTACTTAACCGTTCTTTCGAATATATGAATACCTTCAAATAGTCCACCAAACCAATTGGTAAAACGTTTAAGAGAGCAGCTTGACTGATCTCCACCTTTTTCTTAGTTATCCACTTTATGGTTTCAGCATGATGCATCGCTAGCATTTGTTTGAATCACCGAATGAGCAACATTTAGTTTATGCATACAGTGCCAGGTAAAAGGTGTAACTCAGCTGATCAGGCCGGGAATCAGGTAAGTGGTACTCACAAGTATTCGCCCTCTTCTCTAATGCTGAATCCTGGTTTGAGGTGAGTCATATAGGAAACTAGGATTCCTATAGCAATATATGCTTAGTGGCTTAATGTGATGCATTTCAAAGTAGATCGCCGTACCGTAGAAGGATCTATTTATGTCTCTAAATTTTGTTCCTTTTGTTATCCTATGTACTTTATTAACCATCCAAATTTGTCGTCGTTTACCACTGTCAAGTTTGTCATTTTCCTCTCTCTGTCTCACCTCGTTTTTCTTCACTAATGTCAAACATTATTCATAAGACTTCACCACATCTTATACCTACCTGAGTTGTTGGAAGACGGAGCTTTCAGGACGTTAACAAAATTTTCAGAGACATAGCTCTCCACCAAAACAATTCTGGGGCTCAGCTCTGTGTAGAAGAACGAATGCAGCCGTAATTTCGAGAAACACAACGGTCGGTGACATGGTATAGGAGTGATGATGCTCTATCATGTGACAGATTGAACAAGTTACGAATGCATCCAGGATGTGGATGAAACCTGGTCTGCTCTGCGCGCATCAGTTTTTCATATGTTTTGCATATCGTGTGAAGTGTGATAGCAGCCAACGCCTTAGACGCTACCGGTAGTTTACGCTGATGATTACCACGTACTAGATAGGCTCTTTTTAATGATATGCACGGCAGCGGCTTTATTCGACAGTGATGGAACATTCTTAGTCTGTCTTACCGTTTGAAACAATATAGTTGTCTTGTGGGTCTAGCTATTTCCCATCGATACATTCTAGAAGTTTGACAGTTAGTCTTGAAAGTTACTAAGCTTGGGCTTTTAGTTACAGTACTGGGGACAAGCATTTCGTTTTATTCTATCTGTCTAGAACAATGATTTCAATGACAACCGAAACCCAAGATGAACTTAGCACATACTAAAGCGTGATCATATTCTATTCAGGTGTTTGAGTAGGAGAGGCAGTCGTTACTGAATACATTCACATCAAGAGTGGATGATCGCAATGTGATTTGTATGAGTGCAGGTCTGAGTGGTAGATGGAGGGCACCAGGTAGCATTAGGGCAATGATTGTACCGAAAGTTGGTTCTGGCTAGAATCAGGGTGTCATCTGTATGAAATTTCGAAGGCTAATCCATATTGGCAACTGAATCGTCCCTCCTCTGTACCTTAGGTCTTGAACTGTACTTTCAGGTGCTAAGCTAGCACTAGGATATTTGTTAAGCATACCTAGTAGAGGATGTCACTCAATCGATGATCGAACTCTTCCAGGCTGCAAACAGTCGAGGTATAAGTAGTGATAACCACGAGATATCGTTTCCCTTGTCAATTACTTGTCATTTTATTTGAAGCTTCCAGCCCAACAGCACAGCTATTGATGAGGATGCAGAGTATAGTGCTATCTTGGCTCTCGCAGTGAGTGTTGTCAGCACCAAGGTCGGCTGTTGACACCATAGGGTCATCTGGTAAGTGCAAAGTAGACATACTTTTTGAGCTGGCAGATGAAAAAGTTATTCCTATCACTTAACTGAAATCCTGTTTGCCGGTGTATGAAATACAGTAGATACCATTAGTGGGGTTTTTCACAGTCCAAAACAAACATGTCTATTCGATCCGCATCCAGGTCCGAAGATTCAAGACAATCAGCTTATGTGTTGCACAGGGTTTCACAATAGTTGAGTTAGTTATCACACTGAAGGGTAGAAGCAACTGTTTATGAACTCAATATATCATGAACAGAGCAGGATTTTATTTCATGACAAGCAACTAAGTTAGAACAAATATACACGTAGAGATAAATTTGAAAATGATGACGAAAAAATCGTGTAGTTCGGATGCCCGACCGATAACTGCTACCTTGACGTAGTGGTCGGACTCGCATAACACAATGACCCAACGAGCTATGCCGGTGGAACGCTTGTTCCCTCGAGGTTCTACCATACCAGAAAGGTCTGTTTGATAGTGGTTAGACGAAAAGCAGTTACCGTAGTGGTGTAAATCGCTAAACTATGATGGGGTCTGAGAGCGAAGTCGTACTTCTGCTAGCTGCATGAGGTGTGACAGCAGTAAAATGTTTCCCTTGGATGACCGGCAGTGGCGTGCTGATGCTGCCTTCTCAGTGGATGGGGGAGGGGTTAGAAAAGGTCGGCCACAAAAATAGCACACTCCACCATACCCCACGGTCTGCCGGGCCGGCAGTTCATTTGGTTCATTTTTCGTTTCTTTTCGATCATCCGGCTCCAAAAATAAAAAGGTTCAAGATAATCATATTCAAAAGGCTACGCGTGACAGGCCTCCGTGGTCACACAAATCTCTTTCAATGTACCTTAAGAAAAAATAGCCTTCCACGGTGTAGGCAGCCAGGAAGTGTCAACCGCCCTCACAACTTTGTCAGAGCCCAAGTTTCCTCGGACTGCTATCCACCTCCTCCATCACTACCTTCTAATCTTCCTTCACGTCTCTCAACTAGCGGTACTACATCATCTTCGATTTCTTCTAGCTCTGCAGCCTTCGACAACGATCTGAATCCACAGAACAGCATCCCTGGTCTCCTTAAACTACGCTCCAAATTGCACAGAGCCTTCAATGTCCTCACCCTCCGTCAAATCGGCCAACAAGCTTCATTGGCGAAAACTCCGGCAACTCGGACCATAAATGTGTGCTGTGTTTGTAAGACGTGCGTAAAAGACCGAAGTGCTGTTATTCACTTAACCTCTCCCGGTCAATCTGTTGAATCCTCAAAATTCACTCTTCGAGTTTTTGGAGATTCTATGACCAGTTCTTGCTGTCTTGCAAGTGTAGACATAGCATTAAGCACTAGGTCAGGAAGCTTACTACTAGACTGAATCCCAGTTGACAGTCTCTCCTATACGCTGTCCAGCTGGACGGCACGGTGAGAACTGAAAGGACTAGTGAGACTCGCCGTTGTCTCTTTGTAATCTCTGCTTACGCACCCACTGAGTGTAGTTCGGATGAAGTGAAGGACTAGTTCTAACGAGAACTGTCTAGCCTCCTTTCGAAAGCCGAACGTTCATAATATGTGGTTATTGCTGCAGGTGATATCAATGCGCAAATGGGTAGGCTAAGTCAGGCAGAAAGGCACTTAGGCGGCACTTTGGGAATGCCGACTGAAGGAAGAGATGACCGTGATCGCTTACTACAAGTGTGCTCAGATAACCATTTATTTCTAGCTAGCATAAACTTCAGATATAAAGAAAGGCATTGTCTGACGTAGGGTTGACGGAGCTCAACTCAACGATGGACACAGATAGACTACATTGCTATCAGTCATCTCTGGAGAGGGTTGGTGGGAGACTGGCACTCCTTCTGGGTCACGTGTTTGGACAGCGACCACGTGTTGGTTCGAGGCCGTATATATCTGCGTCTCCATGAAGGTAGAAAAACCTAAGCACCCAGAGGTTTACTATCGCAGGTCGACAGTGAGAGCAGTGAGGTCGGTTTCAGTAAGAAACTGGCTATGAAGTTATTGGAACAGAAAAGTATGATTCATCCAGAAGCTTAGTGCCATCTGCAGTCTGCTGTAAAGACAAGGTTGAAGACCGTAGCCGACTCTTGAAGATTGGTTGAGAGGAGCCAGTGGATGTCAGCAGCTTGTTCTGAACTAATGGATGTATGTGAATGCATCCGTGCAGGCTGTGAGTACAATGAGGAGAGAACGCAGCTGAAACGTAAACGTAAACTGACAAAAGTGTAGGCAACTACTGCTAAGAGTGGTGGGCAGCGAAGGCTAAATAGATGTGGAAGGTAGCTGTGATAGGTGATAGGTGATAGTAGACAATTGTTTAGACTTATTGAGGAGACTGGGGTGGAAAGGTAAACTTTTCTTTGAGTGAGAGTATTGTGTAGAAGGGTGGGTGTGCGATTTACTCGCAGAGGAAACGACCTCTGAGACTTACTGTCAAGCTTACCGCTTAGCATCCGTCCACCAATCTACATTGTCATAATGGCTCCAACTAGGAAGTTAGTATTTCTCTACACAGCTCAGAGTAACCATCATACATTTCAGAAACGGTGCTGTTTTAGTCTGGCCGCCTGTTATGATGCCCCAGTTTTGTATAAAACATTGTTATCGATCCGAACATTTTAACGTGTCATTGGCACATTATTTTTACGGTATGACTAGTGGTCGAAGGCCTTTGACAGCGTCGACCGAGAAGTAATTTGGAAACTGCTTCAATACTACGGAGTACCGCAAACCTTTATCCGCCTCATTCAACAACTATATGAAGATGCCACATGCCAAGTAATCCACAATGGGAAGCTCAGTGATGCCTTTGAAGTGAAGACAGGAGTGAAACAAGGTTGCCTACTATCCCCCATGATATTCCTTATTGTGGTGGACTGGATCATGCAGCAAACAGTAGGCAGCGAGAAGAGGGGGATACACTGGACGACGGAAAA